CGCTGAAGGTCTGGTAGAAGGTGAAGCGGTTGGCCTCGGCGCCCCGGGTGAACAGCTCCAGCACCCCCACGTCCTGCCGGCGCGGCACGCACGGCGTCACGCCGCCAGCCTCGGGGACACGCCGCCTCGGGGCCACCTCACCCCCCCCGCTGCCCCCCACCCCGGGTGCTGCTGGGTTGCCTTGGCTCAAGGTGCAACCGCCTTGAGGTGCCACCACCCTGAGGTGACACGGCCATGGGGTGCCACCACCTTGGGGTGCTACTGGCCATGGGTGGCGCTGCCTTGGGGTGACATTGGCCTTGGGGTGCCTCCAGCCTCAGGGTGCCCCCACCTGATGGTGGCATCACCTTGGGGCGCCTCCCCCTCGGGGTGACACCGGCCTTGGGGAGCCACCACCTCAGGGTGACCCTAGTCTTGGGGTGCCACTGCCTCGGGGTGCCACCGCCTCAGGGTGGGACCGCCCCAGCTTGCCACTGGCTTTGGGTCACCCTGACTTAGGGTGCAACCACCATGGGGTGCCACCAGCCTCAGGGTGCCCCACCTTGGGTTGCCCCTACCTCACGGTGCCCTCCACTTTGGGGAGCCTCACCTCGGAGTGCCTGACCTTGCGGTGCCCTCCACCCTGGGATGACCCACTTCAGGGCGCCTTCCACCATCAGGCACTACGATCTTGGGTTGCCCCCACCTTGGGGTGCCCTCCACCTCAAGATGTCTCACCTTGAGCTGCTCAGTCTCAGGGTAGCCTCCACCTTGGGGCACCTTCCACCCTCAGGTGCCCCCACCTTGGGGTGCCCCATCTTGGGTTGCCTCCACCTTGGGCCCCACCTTGAGTTACCTCCACCTTGAGCTACCTCCATCTTGGGGAGCCTTACCTTGAGATGCCCCCACCCTGGCATGCCCCACCTGGGGATGCCCCCACCCTGGGGTGCCCCGTGCAGCACTTACCTCCAGCTGCAGTTGGGGCTCGGGTCCGATGCCGCAAGAGAGTGCCTGGGTGCCCCCACGGATGCCCACGATGAGGGGACAGCGTTTGCGCTCCAGGTGCCGGTTGGGCACCACGCTGATGTGCTCTGCGTGGAGCCGGTTGTCAGGGCGGATGGGCATCAGGCCGCCCCACCGCACCACCCTGGCACCCGAGGGATCCCCCTCCCGCTCTGGCACCCACCTTCCTGGGCGGCGTTGGCGCCCTGCAGGTTGACGGCCACCAGGCGCCCATGCTCCAGGCACAGCACCTTCTGGTCGGTGTCGCGCACCCGGTAGTGGTAGGGCTGTGGTAACAGCTCCTCCACCTCCGGCCTCTCGGCTATGGTGAAAGTGTCCTCTGAGGTGGTGGACACTTTTGCAAGAGAGTGTGGGGATAGGACACATGAGGACAGGCATGTGGGGACAGGGCCCGTGGGCTTCATGGGGATGGGGACGTGGGCAACAGGGGGCACATGGACATTGGGGGGCACGTGGACATCACAGAGGCGGGCATGTGGCCTTCATGGAGATGGGGCACCTGGGGACAGGGCATGTGAGCTTCATGGGGACGGGGACATGGGCAATGTGGGGCACACAGGCTTCATGGGGACAGGACATGTGGGGACAAGGCGTGAGGGTTTTGTGGGGCCGGGCACTGTGGGGACAGGGCATGCGGACATCACGGGGACAGGCATGCAGGCATCGTGGGAACGAGGCATGTGGGGACAAGGTGTGAGGGCATCATAGGGACATGGACATAGGCAACATGGACACAGGGGAACAGGCATGGGAGCATCATGGGGACGGGGCACAAGAACATTGCAGGGACGGGGACATGGACATCGTGGGGCACTAGGACATCATGCGGACAGGCATATGGGCTTCACAGGGACAGGGCACGTGGGGACAAGGCATGAGGGCTTCATGGGGATGAGCAAGCACATGGGCAACATTGGGCACATGGACATCATGGGGACGAGCACGTGGGCACCATGGGGACAAAACACGAGGGCTTCATGGGGATGGGGCATTGTGGGGACAGGACGCGTGGGCATCACAGGGATGGAGACATGGGCACCGTGGGGCATGTGGCCGTCACAGGGCTGGGGCACGTGGGGACGAGCAAATGGGCGTCGTGGGGCACGCGGACATCAGGGGGACAAAGCACTCAGGCATGGGGCACATGGGGACGGACACCCGGGCACGGCGGGGGGCTGCGGGCGCTACCTTTGCCCAGGAACTGCTCAAACAGTGCCTCCATGTCGGGGTCGACGACGGAAACC